CATGCACTGACATAGTATGAATATTACAGAGGTTTAAGACCTTAGATGTTTTCATTTCTCTAAAAAATAGAGTTTTTACAAGGGTTAGTCTACTTAATAGATGGTATATGAAGTTTAAATAAATTACTTAATAAAAATTAGAAATGATGCCCATCTACCATGAAAATAAGTTTAACATACATATAAATACGTTTTGGTGTGATTAGTTAATTGTAAATAAAACTAAAGAGATTAAATGTTACAAATAGCATTTATCAGAAAATTCAGTATTTTCGTAGGGGTTAGCCCACATATTTCAAGAAAAATAAGAAAATATGAAAATTTTGTTTTATTGCATAGATACATCATGCACTGACATAGTATGAATATTAAAGAGGTTTAAGACCTTAGATGTTTGCATTTCTTTAGAAAATAGAGATTTTATAGGGGTTCTTCCACTTATTAGTGTTATATGAAGTTTAAGTAAACTACTTAATAAAAAATTAGAAATGATGCCCATCTACCATGAAAATAAGTTTACCATACATATAAAAAAGGTTTTTTGTGTGATTAGTTATTTTTAAATAACACTAAAGAGATTAAATATTATAGATAGCATATATCAGAAAATTCAGTATTTTCGTTGGGGTTAGCCCACATATTTCAAGAAAAATAAGAAAAATAAGAAAAAATGAAATTTTTGTTTTATTGCATAGCTACATCTTGCACTGGCATAGTATGAATATTAAAGAGGTTTAAGACCTTATATGTTTTCATTTCTCTAGAAAATAGAGTTTTAATAAGGGTTAGTCTACTTAGTAGATGGTATATCAAGTTTAAATAAATTACTTAATAAAAAATAGAAAGGATGCCTATATACCATGAAAATAAGTTTACCATACATATAAATACATTTTGGTGTGATTAGTTAATTGTAAATAAAACTAAAGAGATTAAATATTACAAATAGCATTTATCAGAAAATTCAGTATTTTCGTAGGGGTTAGCCCACATATTTCAAGAAAAATAAGAAAATATGAAAATTTTTGTTTTATTGCATAGCTACATCATGCACTGGCATAGTATGAATATTAAAGAGGTTTAAGACCTTAGATGTTTCCATTTCTTTAGAAAATAGAGATTTTATAGGGGTTATTCCACTTATTAGGTATTATATGAAGTTTAAGTAAATTACTTAATAAAAATTAGAAATGATGCCCATCTACCATGAAAATAAGTTTACCATACATATAATAAAGGTTTTCTTGTGTGATTATTTATTTGTAAATAACACTAAAGAGATTAAATATTATAGATAGCATATATCAGAAAATTAAGTATTTTCGTAGGGGTTAGCCCACATATTTCAAGAAAAATAAGAAAAAATAAAATTTTTGTTTTATTGCATAGCTACATCATGCACTGACATAGTATGAATATTAAAGAGGTATAAGACCTTATATGTTTTCATTTCTCAAGAAAATAGAGTTTTATAAGGGTTAGTCTAAATAAATTACTTAATGAAAATTAGAAATAATGCCCATCAACCATGAAAATAAGTTTACCATACGAATAAATAAGTTTATGGTGCGATTAGTTATTTGTAAATAACACTAAAGAGATTAAATATTATAGATAGCATTTATCAGAAAATTCAGTATTTTCGTAGGGGTTAGCCCACATATTTCAAGAAAAATAAGAAAATATGAAAATTTTGTTTTCTTGCGGCCTCGGCTTGGCGGTTCGGGGAGCACGCGGCTCGGGGATCGTGGCTCGGGGATCGCGGCTCGGGGATCGCGGCTCGGTGATCGCGGCTCGCGGCTCGGTGATCGCGGCTCGCGGCTCGGTGATCGCGGCTCCGGCTCGCGGCTCGGTGATCACAGCTACACGTTTCTTCTATTTAATTTTGTTAATTAGTTAGATTTCTTTTTTTTTTCTTTTTCTTTTTGACAAAAGGGCTTTTAATTAGTTGGATTTCTTACATATTGCAACAACAAAAATGCATGAATGAATGAATGCATGGATGATTATAATTATTATTAAAATCCATTTATTCATAGTCATCAGATATATACACATAAACCAAATACATATTATCTTAAAGGCCCCACGGTGGGGCCCCCACCACACAGACAAACAACACAAGCTTACAAACAAAGACCCAACCACAACACACCACACATTCTCACACAAGTTTTATTTTGCTTTCATTTATTTCCACTCTTACCAAACCAAGACTCTTCTTGATCACAGGCCATTTTCCAAGCCTCTCTACTCGTAATCTCATGCACCCAATTGCGGACTTTAGGTCGATTTTCGAACAATCTCTTCGTTGGAGTATCCAAAAGGAATTGTATATTTGGTAAGTGATGAAGATCAGCCAAAGTAAAAGTATTACAAGCCAAGAATCTAGATTCTCCAAGTCGTTTCTCGTAGACATCTAGAACCTTCTCTAGACAAGCCTCGTTTTCCTTGACGACCATGTGGTCAGTCTCTAGACCGAAGATAGGTTTAATGACTTGCTCCCAAGTGAGTTTCGATGCGAATGGATCGAACTGGTGAGCTTCGATTTCCATCCACATTGTTAGTATTGCCATTGTCTCGTGGCTTTGAAGATTCAGAAGTTGTGTTCCTCTTGAGCTATGAACATATGCGATATACTGAGTGATGGCTCGAGACTCTATAACAAAAAAAAATGATAATGAAATAGTCCGAAAATTCAGTTAATTACAAAGTTTTATCATGATGTTGTTAATTAGTGCGTAATTTAAGTTAACTCACCAGAGAGCTTAAGGTTTCCATCTTCAAGAACTGGGACTTGACCAAAAGGCTGCAGCAATAACACTTAAAAACTTTTTTTTTTTTTTGTAAAATAATTACACTTAAAACTTGAAATCCTTGATTTACGAGTAATGTTCTTGCGACGATATTACTTACGTTGAGACTGAGGAAAGAATCTTTTTTGTGTTCACCGGCTTTCAAATCGACGGTAATGGGCTCGTAGGAGAGCCCTTTCTCAAAAAGAACAGCGAGAACACGCCTTGTGTTGGTGGAGAAAGGATTGCCATGAAGCTTGTAACCTGCAAATTCCATATTCTTCTCAAATTAGTGTAAAGAAGAATAATAACAGAACTCATGCATATCCATTTATATAACGAAAACCAAAACTAACATCTGAATATATAACCAATATATATATCTTACCGAGCTTTTTAACTTCTGTCGCACGTTTCCAGTTAGGGAATAGGTTGAACACCATCTTTAAGCAGTCCATCGGGAGACTATTTGTATTGCTCATCGATTACCCAATGATATAGTTATACATCTATATATAAATACAGTAAGTTATGATATATATAATTCAGAACCTTCTTTCGCAATACATAAGCGAGGAACATTTTGCTTTTAATTACTGCAATCCACGTACGTAAAGAGTCACCACCTTTCTTGGGTTTCAAGAAATGAATATTGTTCCAATTATACATATTAACTAGGGATCTACAGTCTTCTTCACAACCAAAATCAAATCCAGAGGGGAAAACATTTTAAAAAAATCTTCATTTCTTCATAAAAATGTCGTTTAAATTTTTATTTTTGTAATGTATTTTTAAAACTAAATCACATGCAGTTTCCATCCCTATCACTATCATTCTATGATCACTATTAATTCAATTCTTTAATTGAGGGAATTAATTCTAGAGGCTCGATTGGAACAAAAATATTTTTATTTGTTAAAGCGTATTATATATTTTTATTATATTTATTAATGTGTGAAAAGTTCCAAAGTTACACTTGATTAACTTACTTGTAACGGAAGGAATATTATTATATGTCTAACCGTTCTTCAATCCTTCTTTACGTTTCATAACATAATTAAGGGCACTTAGTACAAAAACGAATACTAACCTTTTTCGTTTCGTGAGGTTAGCAGAAACTATAATTATATTTAATTTTGAGATTCAGCAAATAACAAGAAAAGAATCAAACCAACAAAGAGTTCATTTTTTTTCTTTTTTTTCAACAAGTAACAACGAGTTCATACATAACTGAATCGAGTTGGACTACTGATAAGAGCTGAATACATAAAGAATCACAATTGGTAGCCTTAAGAAACATTTTTGGTTTTAGTGACATCCACGTAAAGAATTGTGTGACATTTGTGTGAGTTTATATTGGTAGCATTTGTGTGAGTTTACATTACAAACTTGAGAAATATGAAGACAAAATAATTAACAACCTCCTTGGTACTATTCACTTCAATTTCATTCCTGTTGAAGTTGAAAAGCTACTTAATTAACAAACTACTTAAGTTGACATGATTGATAATTAAGAGTCTAAAAGAGTGGAATATCTCTACGTAGACGGAAAAATCTCCCGATTTAGATATCAACATCGACACACACTTTAGGAATACGTATGATTGTTGTTTCTGTTTCTTTGGCGGCAAGAACTTGTGTTCTTTACAAAAAAAAATAAAATAAAATAAACTAAGGGATCTCCATTCTCCACTATAAGAAAACATAATCACAAACTAATGTGACTGAAATAATATCCATTGAATTGTCGTTGACCATTAAAAACATCTCTTAGTTTCCTTAAAAATTCCAAAACGGTCAACGGTTTTCTGTATATTTAAATAAAAAAATATAAAAAAGTTGGCGGTTCAAGTTCTTTAACCGCTTCACTGCTTCTTGAACCCTATAAATACACACAGTCACACTTCTCACTTTCTCAGTCTCCGCAGCTCTCTGAAACCGCTTCATTACGATTTTGGGAGTCTTCTACAGGTACGTCACGATCTTGATTTAGGGTTCATGATTCTGATCGAGTCTTACGACGGTTTCTCCATCGCTTGTTTTGATTAGTGTTCTTTACCTACTCTTTATCATCAACCTCTCAAGATTTCACTTCTTCTCTGTTTCTCGTCGAGTTAAGGATCTAACGACGGTTTCTGAATCGCTTGTTTTGATCTATAAGATTAGGGTTTGAATATCGACTGAGACTACTTTTGATCGCAGAAAATGTATAGCGGGAAGATCATCGAGTTTGAGAAAGGATGCAAGTGCATAGAAACTGGTGTTTTGAAGCTTACAAATATTCTTGAAGAAGAGATTACTACGTCTGAGACACAACCACCCTTTGATCCTGGAGAATACATGGAGCATTACACAACGATATACAATATGTGCATCCCTCCAAACCCTCCAAATTACTCTCAGAGGCTTTACCATAAGTATCATGACATTCTTGAACACTATGCCAACAAAACGGTTAGTGAGTTTTAATTAATTAATGACTTCTCTCTCTCTGTAATGCGTTTGAGAAAACAGTTTAATTATGTGTTTATGTGTGGGTTTAGGTGTTGCCTTGTATTCAGCAGAAGCATGATGAATACTTGCTGAGAGAGCTTTCTCGTAGGTGGGATCATTACAGAGTTTTCGTTAAGTGGTTATCCCACTTCTTCCACTATCTTCAACGTTTCTACATTTCACTAAGAAACTCCCCATCACTTCTTGATGTTGCCATGAAGTCCTTCCGCGACCTAGTTTACCTTGAGATACACTCCAAGGCCAAAGATGTTGTTATAGCACTGGTAAGTATAATCTGTGATGTCCCTTATAAGTTTTGAGTAGTTCTGATTCTGCCTTGTTTGTTTGTCTACTTTCAACAGATTCATAAAGAACGTGAGGGTGAACAGATTGACAGGGCACTACTGAAAAACGTATTAGAGATCTTTATTCAGAGTGGGATGGGAACTATTGAAAGGTATAAAACGGATTTTGAGAGGTTCTTGCTTCAAGACACGGAAGCTTACTACGCACGCAAGGCCTCAAGCTGGATACAGGAAGACTCTTGCCCTGAATACATGATAAAGTCTGAGGAGTCTTTGAAAAAAGAGAAGGAGAGAGTCACACACTACCTTCACTCAACCACTGAGCCCAAACTAGTTGAGACTCTGCAGAAGGAGTTGTTGGTTTCGGTTGCAAAACAGCTTCTAGAGAAAGAGCACTCAGGTTTCAGTGCATTGCTTAGAGAAGACAAGATTGATGATCTCTCGAGGATGTACATGCTTTATCATCCAATTCCCAATGGTTTGGAACCTGTTGCAGAAGCCTTCAGGGTTCATATTAGTAAAGAAGGGAATGCACTTGTCAAACAAGCTCAAGAAGCAGGTAACGTGGAGGATCTTGTGAGGAAGATAATCGACATACATGATAAGTACATGGTCAACTATGTCACCGCTTGTTTCAAGAACCATACACTCTTCCATAAGGCTTTGAAAGAAGCGTTTGAAAGCTTCTGCAACAAGAAAGTGGCTGAAAGCTCTTCTGCAGAGTTACTTGCTACGTTTTGCAACAATCTCTTGAAGAATTCAGGAAATGACAAGCTGAGTGATGAAGCTATTGAAGCTACGTTTGACAATGTAAAAAAAAAAAATCTCTGTCGATCAGTTTCATTATAATTCTTGGCGTTGATGCTAATATATAGTTCTTTTTTTTACATGATGATGATTACAGGTGGTTAAGCTGCTTGATTATATAGGTGACAAGGATCTTTTCGCTGAGTTCTATAGGTAACACATCACATCTCTCTCCCTCCTACGTTTTATTTGTTTTCATCCATATGGTTGTTTGCAGGAAGAAGCTAGCTCGTAGGCTCTTGTTTGATAGCAAAGTTAATTACGAGCATGAAATAAGTATAATTACAAAGCTCAAAGTACAACAGGGTGGACAGTATACTTCAAAGATAGAGGGCATGGTTCGTTAATAAAAATGAATTTTCTTTCTTCTTGCTTTTGTTTTAGTAGTGTGTAACGTAACCTCCTTTTGGTACAATATGTTTAGGTGAAAGATATGGAACTGGCAAAAGAAATTCAGAACGGCTTTGAGGGATGCTTAACCAAAAAACCAGGGGGGGTTGATTTAGCAGTCACTGTTCTAACCACAGTTCACTGGCCAAGTTACAAAACATCCTCCGACCTCAATCTACCACGTGAAATGGCTGAGTGTGTTAGAGTTTTCAAGTCGTATTATGAATTGATAACCAAGAACAGGAAGCTCGTGTGGATTTATTCTTTGGGAACATGTCATGTTATTGGAAGTTTTGATTCAAAACCAATCGAGTTGGTCCTTTCTACCTACCAGGTATCTCTATATATATATATATATATATATCTCCTTTTGTTTTTGGTTTTTGAATCATTATGTTTTTGATTAATCTGTTTTTTGTTCTTTCAGGCTGCTGTGTTATGTCTTTTCAACAACTCAGAAAGGTTAAGCTACCAGGAGATCATTGAGCAACTAAACCTCAGCCATGAAGATCTTGTAAGGGTGCTTCTTTCACTCTCATGTGCAAAGCACAGGATTCTTAAAAAGGAACCAGCCTCAAAGAGCATCTCTACAACAGATGTTTTCGAATTTAACTCCAGCTTCACCAGTAACACGCGGAAGATCAAGGTATTAACAAGAGCTGCTATTGTTGGATTCACCTCTCTCCTGGATCATAATGATTGTTAAGTTTTCCTTGTGGTGTGATGAAACAGGTCTCTCTTCCTCCAATGAATGAAAGGAAGAAAGTGGTTGAATGTGTTGATATAGATAGACGCTATGCTATTGATGCTTCTATCGTGAGGATCATGAAGAGCAGAAACGTGTTGGCCCATCAACAGTTAGTCTCTCAATGCGTTGAGCAGCTTAGCCGAATGTTCAAGGTGAAAAAACAAGTACAGTCACTTTGGTTACATATTTTGGAGATAAAGAACATCTTAATGGTTGTTGTTTTGTTTGTGCAGCCTGATATAAAAATGATTAAGAAACGGATTGAGGATTTGATCAGCAGAGATTACTTGGAGAGGGATAAAGAAAATCCGAACATTTTCAAATACCTGGCTTAGTTCAGCTTACCTTGCAAAAAGGAGAGAAGGTGTTGTTATGGTTTTAGATTCTTTTGCAAAGTCTTTACATTCTTTCATAAAATGTAGATGAAACGAATTGAAAAAACAAACCCTTTAATTCAAGAAACAATTGTTACAAAGGCAGAGTAATTTTAGTTCATTAGCCTCTTCCTAATACTATATCTATATGTATACCATATGCATAACACATCATGATAACTTCTATATCTTCGCCAAAAGTCTCTCAACAAAGGTCCTAACACTATACACTTAGCAGTGAAATAAGTTTTACAAAAGTCTTCAATTTTCCATAGCAAAACTCAAAAGTCACTTCCCCTTCTCTTCTCTGCAGTGAGTATGGGTCCTTGTGATGTTAAAACTTACTTTTATAAGGTGGGATCATAATTCATTTATCACATGTTTATGGATTCCATTGCAAGCCTCACCACACGCAACAATTTCTCCATGTCCTGAAAATCGAAATCAAGTGCCCTTTTGATGGATGTTATGCCATTACTACTGTATCCAGTGTCAGATGACTTTCTCTTAGCAATTGCAAACGCTGTCTGTGCTTTTCTTGATGCATCCATAGCAAAGCTTACATTTTGTGACTGCAAGAGCATTAATATATACATGAATCATTAACGCACTATAAGCTATGATGCAAGATTACTTACACAACAATCTATGATGTTTATACACACAACACTACTTTTTTTATGATGATGGTAATGAATATGATGTGATACTTGAAGATGATTCCAATTCATGTTGGTTCTCAGTCAAGCAATTATCTCAACTACGTACTAAATGTCCTGTTGAAATTTCCACCTAACTAGAGCAGCTAAATGGTTCTGTAATGTTTAACTGAACTTACAAATGCCAAAAGCTGCGAAAGAGACGAATTGTTTACTGAAGAGAGAACATGATTTCCAGTTACTCTAGGAGATGACCTCACAGTGCTGGACAAGGCAACCTTCTCAGCTGCCAGTGTCTGGTTTGGATTTTCACCATCAGAAGCAAAGGAAGGAGATTCACCTGTTTGAAACAACCACCAACAACATGGAAAGTAATTTATCAGAATCATGATCACAAGAAAATAGGAACAACATAGTCAATACATTCTTGTATCTGTTTTCATATGGATCACAGATGATAAATATAGCTCTTTTTCTTATTACCTGATGGAATCTCTTGAAGAGCTGCTTGCAACTCAGATCGGTATCTATTTATGTTTCCATGGGAGGAATAAGTTATCCTCAGATATGCTACTTCCATACATTTATAAGCAAGAGCAGCTGCCCCCATATCTTTATTTTTCTCATATTCATGAGCACAGAACCTGTTACATAAGCAGCATAAACATATCAGGAAGACGTACGGTTCAATATAACGTTTTCACATCTTGACATGCTAGAAATGTCTATAAGCCACAATGCAGAAGCTCAGCCAAAATGAGAGGGAAACATGAACAAGTACCAACCCAGTGAAAGGCTCCTTCTAGGTAGTAAAATGGAGGACTAAATTGCATGACTATGAAACACACAACAAACAGAGAAGAAGAGAAAGTCAGAGTTTGCTGAATGCAAAACTTACTCGCATAGTTTTGCTGTGCTGCCATAAATATCCTTGCATCTGGCAATGCTACCAGAGGACTCCAAAAGAGAAGCACCATGAAGAAATTTAAGAGCAGCCTGAAAGTAAACACTAGTGCTCTCGTAATTGGACGCAACATTCTGCAAGAGGTTACTGTCAAATGTTAAGCCAGGGGAGCGAGAGACATCAAACATAACCACTGCAACATTTTCCCATAAATATATATGCCAAACCTTAAGACGATCAGCCATGTGTTTCAAATCTGTAGCCTCTTTGATTGAGTTGGAGGCAGTCTGACACGTGGATTCCTTTTTCAAAGGGCTTGAACCGACATCATCCTTATGCGCACCTCCATTTTGCTTTTGGTTTCGTGAACTGTGATTATCATTTCTCATCATCTGTTCCTTTGTATTTAATATCTCAGTGCCGTGGTCCATGACTTCAACTTGACCTGCGCCAGCTGGTGGAGCTGGTTTTGATTTCTCAGCGATCACTTCCAAGTGGTTGCTCTTCCCACAAATAGTTTTTGCTCTGTCAGATTTCTGTGGCGAAGAAGAATGACTATCATTTGTATCTAGCTTAGTATCAGGATCTTGATATTCCCTTGAGCCTTCTTTATTACTCTCCATAGATACTTTCCTACTGGGTTTTTTCTTGCTTCTTTTTACTTCAACAGCAGTGCCAAGATCTTGCACTTCATTATCCTTGGAATTTTCAGCAGCGTTCTTTGTCCTTGGATTATCCATAATGCTATACCCTTCACCATCTCGGCATCTTTTTAACGTATCACTAGTAGTAGAGTCAGTATCACGGTGTCCACCCCCTTCTGAGTTTCTTTCTGATTTAAGCTCACGTGGGTCTAAGGCTGAAGGAGCTAGTGAGTCAACTAGCGAACCTTTGGCGTCGTGGACATTAATTTTGATAACTTCAGAACCCAAATCCTTACATAATAAACTCGGAGACGACGCCCTAATAGGTAGAAGAGAAGCACTATCTCTACAATTTTCCTGAGTACGTCCTCTGTCCCTATCACAACTTTCATTACTGAAAGACTCTTTCCCATCACAACTTGAACCCTTAAGCCTCTTTTTCTTTCTAACTTTCTCTCTACTTGACTCCATTACTGCAGATTCTCTTAATCTCATACAATCTCCACCTACTTTATCTTCCTCCTGTTTCCTCTTTCTGTCTTCCTGTCCATCACGCGAGGAAGCCTTAGCAATATCCTTGACTTTATGGGATGAGACTTGAGCAATCATAGTTTTATTTACACCGTCCAGAAGTTTGTTGGATCCAGGTTGATCTAAAGAAGAGAATCGTGATTTTCCAGTCTTTGGTTTCTTACAAGTCCCAGAAAGTTCTCTTTCAGATTCCACTCCCAAAGGAAGATGCTTACATGCCTCTTCATCACTTTGAACACTGTCTAAACTCTCCTTCAAAGTAATTTCTTTTGAAAGCTTTTCTTTCTTAGCTTTAAGAACCAGACTACTTTGTTCTTTTGATCCTCCTGAATCACCAAAGAATCCTTCACGCACATCTTCAGATCCTCCAGTATCTTCTTGAAAATATTCTACTACAGTCGTATTAATTATATTTACAGCAGTATTCTTGCCTCTCAAACTATTCCTGCTTGAACCTTTTTTTGACTTGTGTGCTTCAAGCAGTTTTGAATTCAAAATTTGGTCTTCATGCCTTGTCTCACTCTTACTAACCTTAACAAACGAGTTAGATGTTTCACCTTCGGTTAGGTACACGTCTTTTCTTGTGTTCACACTTCGTTCTGGAAAAGCCAGAACATTATTTTCCAGTTCAGGCTTTGAACCCATCAAAGATGCATCTAGGTCCCTATTGTTTGTTCCTCTTGATGAATCCTCAACGTGCTCCGCATAAGAATCTGATATTTTATCAATCTCTTTTGCCGGGTGGATATATGACGGTGATAGACAGGACAAAAGCGGAAGCTTCAGAGTCTTAGAAACCAGCTCCTCACATGACTGTTTATAAGCCTCCTTCAACTTGTCGTGTTTACTTTTTGGGTCTGACTTGTTGAGAGAAACATATCCAGCATCTGTCATGATCTTTTCTTTCTTTCCCAACTGAATGAGATCATCAGAGAGAGGTGATAAAAGCTGATCTTTATGCAAAGGAAACGACACCATAGCCTACAGAAAGGAATGCATCACAAACAAAACTCATCTTCATCATTCTTCAAGTTTTCATGGACAGAACAAAGAAACTGAAAAAGTTTTAAGAAAATATTCACCACAAGAATTTTAGACGGCGAATCATGAATCCCATTTGGTAACCGTTCTTCAACTTCTGAGAGGCAATTCACCCTCGACGTTGATGGTTGCATATTGAGGCCTTGTTTAGTATTATAGGTTGAAACGTTTTTAGGTGAGGAGAGGTCACTTGAACCAACTTTTATACGGAGCCTGAGTGTCTTATGATTCACTGGAGCAGAAGAAGAAGAAGGTTTAGTGACAGGTTTTTGTTTGCTATCAGGTGTCCCTATATTACTTGAATTGACCAAAACATGGGAAGCAGGAGGAGCTTTAGAAGTGGAACCAGATACTGATACTTGAGGTACAGCCGATGAAGCTGAGCACTTAAATCCACTCACCTATAAAATAGGTTCACTCTTAATATTAAAAAAAATTGCATTCACTAAATGTCTGTCTGAAGATAGAAATATACCATTTGGTGTTGAACTTGTGGTGGAGTCTTACAAAGAGGAGATCTTTGATACATAGACAAAAAAGAACCATAGCCACCATACTTAGCACCTATACATAAATGAGAAAGAGATTGCTGTTAAAAGATACCCTCAAAGGGTAATAAGTAGCATAAAAAAGGAAAGAAACATATACCCAAATTTTCAGCAGAAACACCACCTTCAAAATCCTTCTGAAAATGTCCCAATACGTTCTCTAGCTTCTCATCCTTTTTAAAGAAACCAAAGGGTGTAGATGAAATCAACAAGCAGAGCTAAGAAGAAAATAAACATATCTAAAGAGGAAGAGATGATTACAATGTAAGAGAGAGCAAGATCAGGGTCAACGCAAGAAACATAAGAATGAATGCTGTCTTCCTCAAAGTCGCTATCTTCCATCATCATCATTTCTTCCTCAATTCCACCAAACCCTAACCCTATCTCGCTTCTCGCAGAGCTGTGGCTCACCGAAATCATCTAAAAATCCAACCTTTATCCCACCCAATCGCAAAAAAAAGGCAGTTTTCTCTCAGAAACCCAGATCGAGATGGAGATAAAAAAATTCACTCAGCTAGCTAGCAATTTCAATATGAATTTGGGAGCTCGCCTGAACAGAATCTTGAGATGCCTCACACGTTGGTTTCAGAAATTCAAATTTCAGTATTCAGATTCCTCTCCTCATTCTCTCTTTTGTAGCTCTTCTCCGACCAAAATGAAAAAGAAATGTACTCAAAACACAGATAAATTTCCTAAAAAGAAAGAAATCATCAAAACGAGTTTCGGACCAGCTTGCACAAACAAAGCAAACTTCCTGATGATGTCAGCGTTTAAAAGTGGTTCTTTTCCGACCAAATGTTATTATGTCTTATTAATAATCTCTCCTTATGAAAAGGATATGCTATTTACAATAAAATTAACAAACCATTTGGATTCTCAGTCTCACCCAAATAAAAAAAGGTTTTATTGGGTTCAATCGTGGTAATATCCTTGTATATACATGCAGGTTTTAGCTCTGTAATCTATATGCTACTTTTTTTTTTATTTCGTTGCTAATAATACTGAGGAGTTTTAGCTGGAACGGCCTTCAAATTGGTCTCGAAGCGCCTCATACTTCTTAAGTTCGCTTATGGAGAGTGATGGGGGATAGCTGATCCAATGAAAAAAAAAGTAACAACAATGTTTAAAAACTAGATAGAGATATTTCTCAGTGCAAGAGATTGGATTTTCAACATTTGATGTGTTCAGAAGACTCGGTTCTCAAGCTCTTGTAGAGAGTAGATGAGTTAACAATATGATTTTCGTTGTAGATTTGTTAGTTATTTATAAATAGAAGAAGCATCAAACATTTGACATTAACAGCATCAGCATCAGCAATTGTATGGCGCTCTCACGCATGCTGTCAGATATAATTTATTTCTAATTTTCATTTTTAAAAGTATACCACTAAGATGATGTCACATTTAGAACATGTTCTTGGAATAGAACACTTGTTGACTGTTTCTCTAAAATTTGTAATTAATTATTTTTATTAAGAGGCATGTGTGAGAGAGAGAGCACACCATTGATTATGCTCTTAACATTTTAGGTGAGGAGAATGAGAGTTTGCGTTAAAGAAAATGTCAGGAAGAATCAAGGGATGACTATGTAAACTATGAGGTGCAAGAAGAAGAGTGATCCTCCTACTTACTATATACAGAGCCGAGCCTGAATTCATTTCTGTGAAACATTTGAATGGGGTCCCAAGATTTGAAGGTCCCCCAATTTTTTAAAAAAAAATTTTTTTAGCTTAAAAATTATATATTTTTAATATAATGTACAATAATACATAATTTTTTCAAATATACATATATAATTAAAATAATAAATGAATTATAAATGTATATAATGCAATATTAAAAAAAAATTGTAAATACAAAAAAAAATTAGTATGGGGATCCAAATTTTACAGGCCCGGCCCTGACTATATATGCACCATTTTTATGGGAGGCACACCCAAACACAGTCATTTTTCCCAATTTCTTTTTTTCCTCCGCCGCTCACGTGTGACGACTGACGTGACCTCCCCCGTATCGTATCACTCCCCTATGATTTTTGTCAACGCCGAAGAGGACAAACAAGGGAATCCTGTTGATGTCTGTTGATAATTTCAGAGGCCAAATCCTTACATAATAAACTCGGAGACGACGCCCTAATAGGTAGAAGAGAAGCACTATCTCTACAATTCTTATTTTAAATCATCATAGTTTCTCTAGAAAACACTTGGGTTGATTCTGTCCTCCTCCGAAAAATAAACAACTTTTTTTTTTCTTAGAAAGAATCACGAACTAGAAAAAAATTAATAGCAAGTACCATAAGTTTTTATTACACAACCATAATGTCTAACCATAAAATAAAGCGGTAATTTAACATAAAACCGTAAACACAGCATGAACTTATTGGACAGAGACCATAAGTATTTATTACACAACCATAATGTCTAAGCATAAACACAAAGCGGTAATTTAACAGATCAACACCGTAAAAGAGCATGAGCTTATTGGACAGAACGAGCAAAGCCAATTCTTCTTTCTCTGAAATCGAAGATAGTGTGGTATCGAAGTAGCCACGGAATTCCCAAAACACTGTATCAAATTAAAGTATTAATATATAGTCTTTAAAAAAAATGATCTAAACAGTGGTGTCAAAACAAAACTAAAAATGGTTACTTACAAGTATGTCTCTTCCCCAGGTTGGAACACCAAATGTCGAAAGGCCGTGGTGTAATCTTGTTCATCCTCATCAAAAATTACATACTACAAAAATTACAACTATATGTGATCAAACAAATAATTGACAAAATTCAAAAGATCAAATTATAGATCTTATAACTTACGTCTGCTGGACCAATGGTTAAACCGCAATCTTCGTTGAAGTTGAATGTCACATCTGGCCCTTGTGATAATGTTTCCCTCTCACCGTCAGTAAGTACTGTTGGTCCATGAAGTGGAACCTATTAAAAAAAATATACATACACACACACGTAAATGTTAGTGTTAAGCTAATTTTATTTAAAAAAATAAATGTTATGTTGATAAGTTACTTGTCGACCACAGATTTGTCGGTTGATTGCATGGATAATATGCTAATACACAAATGCAAACAAAAATAAAAATACGAGAAAAGTTTACATTAAAGAAGAAGAAGCTGAATTAACTTTAAGTATACACTTTAACCAAAAAAAAACTTTAAGTATATACTTACAGGAGGCCCATAAATGTATTTGCTACCACTGTCAATCAGAACTTTCTGACAATATTGCGCTGCAAATAAAAAATTATATAATTTTGGTTAATTTACTAGGAAAAAAAGTTCAATTTTCAAATGATCAAATAGTATTATTACGTAAATGACCCGCAACCGCAACCGAATACATATGGATCTTCCACTCGTAGGAGTTCTGGACAAGATCAAAGTATTGGTGGTGGCCGATGTAATTATCCCGATCAACACCTCCAAAAGTTATGCTTCCACCATTAGTGTCATCAGAATCATTATATCGCAGATAAAGCGAAAATTGAGAGCTTGGTAGCAAACCCCGGGACATCATGGTCCTCCTAAAATACAAATAATCAAAGGTTACATATAATAGACATGCAACAATACAGGATATGGACACATCACTTAACTAGTTTCGTTTCTTATATTTAAAAGGGAGTTGGGCAGGCCTAAATTTTCATAAATGAACCAGTTTTCTTTTGAGTGCTAACGAGTTAAAATTAACAAAAGAAACATGCAAGGTATTACCAGATAGGAAGATCACTTGGATCAGTATTGCCTGGTGGAGGTGATCTAAGTCCCACAAATCCATCATACATAGTTCCCATATAAAACTGAACTGGATCAACGATATCATAGATGACAAACCCTCGACAAAAAGTAACCGTGTACCCACTTCCGAGTGTCATTTCATCCGTTCTCCTTGAGCCATATATGGTAACATCACCACTTCGCCATCTTATTGAGGTCTCCGTTCCTTATAGGACCAGGCCCCAAACACAGAAATCATCAGTTTTATATTTTATTTTTGGACATATGAACACAACAGCATTAATACCTAACATATATATGTGTATATATATTACCAGGAGCTTCGTCATATGTGTCTGACTCATCTGACTCATCGTAGAAATTTGTTTGGTCGGCCAGATAGCGGAATCTTCCGCGTGGGGTTATTCCGATTCGGATTCTTCCGGGAACCCAGATTCCATGCATCCCGGTGTTGAAAGAGACATCGAAAAGGCCCCCACCGAATTCCATAAGCCCACTGTACGCCTGATTGGAATGACTTCGCAAGAATATGGTGATCGGCGGCATTGTTAACCTGCAAAACAAAATAGCAAGACATTAAGAGAGTACACAAGGAAAGAAACTGGGGGCTAGAGCTGATCAAGTGATTTTAGGCTCGAATCTACTGAGTAAGATAGAAAGACAAATAACATTTGAAAAGATTTCTATATTTTTAGAAATTACTCAACGAAAACTTTCAAAAGATTTCAACTTATTCACAAATATGCCAAACACCGGTTAGAGATGTTTTATGTTTTCTTCTAATGGAGGATGAAGCGCTTCTTATGAGGCAAATATTACTCAAACCCTATTTTTGAAAACTGTGGATAATATAACATTTGCTTGAAAATATGTCAAAAATACACGAATATAATCTTTGCTTGAAACTCATTTTGGACTCAATATATACGAAGTTACGAACTATAGATCTAGACGAACCTATGAGGAAAAAAAACATTTGAAAAAATTCAATTTCTTGAGAAACCACTCAAAAACCCATACAAAAATCTGTGAAAGAAACATTCAAAAAGTGTATCAACATATTCACAAAGATAAGCGAAGCTACAGAAAAAACTTATTCACAAAGACAAAAAAAAAACATATGAAACCTGGTTATTCTACTAGAGAGTGTAGAGGTAGAGCAGATGAAAAGTTTTTAGAGAGAGAAAAATAAAGCTGGTGACGAGAGAGAAAGTTTTCTTAAGTTTTCGTGAAGTTTCTGGTTTTCGTGTGTATTGCTTTAATGAAAAGGCTGACATATATATGATCCAAAAAAAAACACAGCTGTCTAGCATCTGTTTGAGAGAAGGTCCGTACAGTCTTCAGGTCGTTTCCTTGGTCAATACTTTTGGGCTTTGTATCTTTTCTATCTTTTAGATTAGGAAATCAATTTCTTGAACTCACTACGATACAGAAGTTGTGTATTAAGTTTTTTTTTCTATTTTATTTTAGATCATGCATATTTATCAGAACATACAATAGTTAAACTCGGTTCAATCCTAAGCATCGCAAGATATAATCAAGTGTAGCTCTGGTATAATATGTTTGCTAAGCAAAAATTAAGGCGAGTTTTTTGTGTGTGTGTGTGTGACACGTTCTTCATTTGGTCTAAAAATTCATTCAGTGTTTTAAAACCGGACTGGAAATTGAATAGGATAAGTTTTGAGGTCACCGTTTAATATGGATCGACCATATCAAACATCCTTCAATAATCTAGTTTAATATATTTTTAGTGTATAAATAAATTTAAAACATAAAAATTATAAATATAAACTAGTTTCATGTTTATATGGATGGTTTTCATAGTTTTTTTATAGTTTTAATAGTTTTTATTAGTTAATAGCTTTGAAATCTTTTCCAACTATGTGACTGGTTTATGGTTAAACCAATTATTAGATCTAACCTCGTTATGCAACCGGTTCATGGTCGGATCCGGTTCAACCAACAGATCAGTTTGGGTTTTAAAGTAATGTTTTTTTTATATTCTTTATGTTTCAAAATAGATTATGTTTTAGAAAATTTTTGATGTTTCAAATAAATAATGTTTTAATATTTTTTTTAGAGAAAAATGTTTTTCTCAAATCTTGTGTCAAAAATCAAAACATCATCTATTTTGGAAGAGATTATTGGATTTTGAATAATATGTAAAAGAGCATGAGCGAGACAAATAAATGATCTAACACGGCTTCCAACATATAAGAAGTTACATAAGATTTTAAAAACTTTTTCTGTTTTACATAATAATTTCAGTTTTGAAGTTTTTTTATTACAAAGTAATGATAATTGTACGTTATCCCTGAAGGGGAAGACTTCACCAAATCATTAAGGCTACAGAGCCTATGGCTATTTTACGTATTTCACGATAATAATAACTACTGGATAAAACCCATCGGTTAAATTGGTCAAAATGGAGAACCATATAAACTAATTTCTATCCATTTTGATCTCTTGAGCTCATGGTGAGAATCACACGTACTGCTGTACAGACTCAAATTGGGAGCCCGAGATTGGATATTCTAGGTGCATTTTAGCTCTGGTGAAACCTATCAGAAAAAGATTTACAGGTCCCACTACTAAGCATGTTTGCATGTGATTTTTCCATTTTGAGACCAAGATTGGATATTCTAGGTGCATTTTAGCTCTAGTGAAACCTATCAGAAAAAGATTTACGGGTCCCACCACTAAGCATGTTTGCATGTGATTTTGCCATTTTGAGACCGAAATTGGATATTCTAGGTGCATTTTAGTTCTGGTAAAACCTATCAGAAAAAGAATTACGGGTCCCACCTCTAAGCATGTGATTTTGACATTTTAGCCACTGTACTTAAGTAGGTCAATATTTTAAGGATATCATGTCATACATTATAGTAATTAATTACTATGGAATTACTACATTATTTTAACCATTTTCATCATTCATATATATATTTTGGATTGCTAAATCTGTTTGATCTACTCTTATATCAATAGACTCGCTTTTGTTTCATTCATTTCACTTGATCCGCTAGATCCATAATGCTAAATCTGCTTTTTCTATTCAGATCTTAAATGGATTTTACCACATATTTCAAATTTTAAATTAATTTTGTAAAGTAAATATTCAAAATAAATAAGATTAGAAAACATTAACAACAACATAAATAAATATTTTTTAATGTTTTATTAAAATGTTACATTTATTTATCAAATATACGTTTTAAATATATGATTTTGCTTTGATTATTAAACCGATCACATAAGTTTTAGCTTTACAGGGATTTACTGACGATGATACAGTCATACCTAATTTGTGCACAAAATACTGTAGCTAGTTTATTTATGGTTGATGAATTAGCATAAAGTTTGTAGTTGCATGTTTAGTATTTATAAGTTTATTTAACAAAGATAAATTACACGAATTATAATATACAGTACATATCATATTTTGTAATAATTGTAGGTGTCACTTTCAAAACAGAGAGTAAATGCATATTTTTTTGTCTTGTTACTCTCAACTTTTTTTAAACTTATAAACACATACAACTCTCTACAATCAACTCTCTCTTTTGTCTTGTCAGTGTTCTTTTTTACAGAACTTAGAGCGTTATCAACTGGGGGTGTTTACCCTCGGTTCCCGCACCAAACATCCCAAAAAAATTAAGCACCTTTGCTTATGTTGCTTCCATAAGCATCCCATTTTCTGTGTTGCTTGCCCTGTTCTGTGGGCCTCACGACACGTGGCGGCCTGCAATTGATCATTTTCTATCTTTTCTTTTTTAAATCCGAAAAAGCACCCATTAATGGGGTGTTGGGTTGATAATGCTTTTACAAACACACACAAATCTCCTCTACCTATTATCTCTCTTTTTTTTTGAGCAACATAAATTGATTCACTAAAGACAAAGAAAAAGGTCTTAGAGGCCCAATTCAGTGGCCTTGGCCAGAGAGTCCGCATGCCCATTGTAATTTCTAGAGACAAAAGAAAAAGAAACAGAGAGGAAGTTGGAGGAGACAATTGAATCGACATCCGATAGTATACCGTAGAGCTCTATCAGTCGAAGATTCGAGTTGATGGCTGTGATGAACCCTTGGGAATCTGAGCGAAGCCAGATACGTTTGTAGGAGAGAGCCGATGCATGTATGAGCACCTCCCTTATTGCCAGAGCCTCCGCCACCAGAGGGGAGGAGACATCACTGTGGAGGGATGTGTCTCGGGAGATCTCGACTGATTCAGAAGTGGTGTAGATCCAAGCGAGACCCGCGACTTCATGTTCTTTTTTCCATGCTGCAACGGTGTGACAGATGACAGTATCTATCGTCAGCAATGGAGACACAAGAGAGATTGATTTAGCCCCGAGTGGCTTAGGTATGATCGATTGGGCACATTCCCATTCCTTACATGAAACCACAGCTCTGTTGACAATCTGTAAATTATGAGGTGCAAGAAGAAGAGAGATCCTCCTACTTACTATATATATACCGGAGGAGCCTATATATGCACAATTTTTATGGGAGCCAAGGCCAGTCACACCCAAACACAGTCACTTTCCCAATTTCCTTTTTTCCTCGACCGCTCACGTGACCTCCCCCGTATCGTATCACTACCCTATGATTTTGTCAACGCCGAAGAGGGGGTGAGAACAAAGCTTAACTAGAATCCTCCTGTCGATGTCTGTGTTCCATGATCTCGGGAAGAGTAGCAAAAAGTCGACCAACCATGTCTCTGACTTTGGCCATCTTTTTCTTGGTCGTCTAAGATAATTATCATGCATGTAAATGAATGGAATCTACTCCAACCTTTTGCCCGGTTGATAAAAAATGTCGATAAAATTGATGAGAATACCAATAAGCTACTTGTATATGCTTTTTTCAGCCCTTGTTCCCAATTAATTTTTTTTTTTTAATCTTATAAAAGATTAGTCTTGCATAAACTCCCTCAATGGAAAGAAAGAGAGAGCAAAGACATTAGAAGTGCATGACGCACAGTACTCAATCGCTCGCTCTGGAACCACATCATCGTACGTTATTCTATATGATGATTACTAAAGAGCTTCTTGTACATTCTTTTTCTATACATTCGTCGTCTCATTCTTCTCTTCTTCTCCTGCTCGCTCATTCCAAGTAAACCTTCCTGCAAATTAACAAAAATGAAACAAGTTATATAATCATTTTAATAAAAAAAAAAAGTATTATGGAACAAACGACGCTCTAAACTCAAACAGACCTGCTGCTGCACGGAGGAACCAGGAGCGTCTCCTACTTCCAAATCAGAACCGTCCGAGTCATCATCTTCGTCTTGTGCTCTCCTCCTTTGCAGAGGAGGAGGCATATTAGTCGTCTTGGCTCGTATAATACAACGTTTTCTATGTTCTTTTTCTTCCTCAACCTAAACCCAACCCCCATGCAAATGTAAACCAATCAAATAGGAAAAATTAGGATCGTTTTCTAATGATTACGTACGTACGTACCTTCTTCATCTGAGCTTGAATCTGGCTTTCAATGGCTTCAAGCCTTCTGGCTCGTTGAGAAGATTCAACGGCTCGGCGTTG